TGGCATTTCTCATGATGTACTCTGCATATAGGTTAAATAAGCAGGGTGACAGTATACAGTTAGTATATATAGTTGACTCCAAAATTTTCTAGCTTCTTTGCACATCCACCAAGCATGATGAAATGTCCCCTCTTATTGTTCACATTTCCAATATAAATTTGAAGTACCTTTATACATTCTAGACCGTTTCTCTGGTGACACATACCAATGATACATCATTTTATAAAAATTCTCCTTAAGGTTATAACATAGTGTAAATTTCAGTCCTTTCAACCACATATTCTCCCACTGTTCGATTTGTATATTGTAGCCAAAGTTCTTAGCCCACTTTATCATACATTCTTTCACTTGTTCTTCTATTTCAAATTTCAGTAGAAGTTTATACATTTTAGCAATAATGTGTTCATCATTTGTACACAGTTCTATTTCAAACTCAGTCTTATACTGCTCAAAACCAAAAGTTCTTTTGTCTGCTTATCCTATGCTTAAGAAACATCCAAAAACTAATTATTTTGTTATATCATCAAATGCTTTATATCATTATGTTTTTCATTATGCTAAAAGTTACTTTTCTTGGCTGTTTAAATTGTAGGAATGTTTTCACATGACAGTAAAATTACCAGAACATTAAAATGTCTTTAACATTAAAATAAAAATATGATCAAGTTGAAGATAGAAATTTAAAAATCATATATGTGTTGGTCCTCAAGAATGTAAGTTTATAAAGGTGTTATATAAAAGTGTAGTAGTTGAGAATCAAACTTGGACAAAAAAAGAGATAAGGGTTATTTTTGTTTGGTTTGTTTTTATGAAATTCACACATCTGGAATTACTATATGAAAATACTCTTCTGTTGTTACACATTTCTAAATGTGAGGATGGAGTTCTCTGTTAAAAAATACATATAAAATCTATACATTATGGAAATAGGAGAGAAAAAGGCAATTTTAAGGAAAAGCTCTTGCAAAAGTGAATATATTCAGAAAAAAGTCAAAAGAAATGAGCGCACATTATTATGCAAGGCAAAAAACATAATTTCTGTCCATATTAAAAAGAAACAAGAAATTATGCTCATATCAGATGGAGCAAAATTAGGGCTGAAAAACACAATGTTAGAACAAAAAAAAAAAGAGTGTTCTAGGGCAAATTACTGAGCTAAGTCAGGATTATGAGTTTTTTCCTGGAACTTCTTTCCACATCCACTCCAATCTATACCCCTTCCTCATGGAAAACTATGTAAAAATTACAGTTTATATTTCTGGACTATGGCCATCCATCACCATCATTGGATTAGATGTTCAGGTAGTTCAGTTTCTGTCATTCCTTGTTCCATATCCATTTCTTCAATCATCAGAATTCTAGAGTCTTTATGTCTATCTTTTGTTTGCTTTGAATATAGCAACATCACTGTGTTGTTTGCTGTTGTCAGACAAATTGGCCCTTCAAAATGGAGGAGAGTAGGAAAAACAAATAATTTTTCTTCAGAAATATGAAGATCATGGACTTCCAGGGGAGTAATGGCAGACTGAAGATGGCTCCGTTTTTGAGTTCCTGATGGCTGCAGTGGACAAGAGGAGGCAGTGAAGGAGCCAGCTCTTCGTAACCATATGTGAACAAAGGAGATGACTAGATCGCCCACAAATACTCCTTACAGAGGCTTCCTGTGAAGAGATTGCAAATTAGCGATCTTAAGTGGGTTGAGTGCTCTGGGAATCAAAGGAAACATTGAGCTTAAGGCATGGTTTGGAGTCTTCAAAAGGATACTAGATTCACATAAACTTTGTCCTTTAATTGACAAAGGAAACTACTTATTATCAATTTATTTAGAAATTAAGAACCTTCTGAAGGGCAAGTTGCTGTACACCAGGAGAATCTTCTTCTACCCTTGAAGAAGGAAGATTCAAGTAAGTTTAAAAAGGAAAGAAAAAACTGTAATTTTTGAAACAGCAAAAGGGAGTTTAGGACAGTTAAGGGGCCAGATAGAACTGAAAGGATAGTTTTTATGGACTGTTTTAAATTTTATAAAAATACAGCTGATGATTTTGGAGTTAACTGTAAGAAACCTTAATGTGGGAAAGTTTTGACTCTGAAAAGGAACAAAAGATAAGACTTGAAGGTTAACTAGAGGGAACCAGAGAGCAATTAAAGGAGAAAATACTTACTAATGTAATGGAAGAATATTATTTTACTATAGAAAAAATTAAGTTGGCTTGGAAAGAGTGTGTTCAGAACCTATTTTTTAAAACTTTCTGATACTTTCAAAGTGGAGCTAACAGTGATTATAGAAGAACAAAAGATTCTATTGGATAAAACAGAGGTTGAGGATGATTTGAATGGGGATCTTAAAATGGACTTTAAAAAATTGCCAGACTATAAAAGGGATATGGAAGATATGGAAAATGATGTTGTGGATTTGAAAAGACTTAAAAATGTTTGACTATAAGAGTGACATGGAGAAAGAAACTGAATGGGCCTACAAATTATGCTGGTTGATGTTTTAACAATTAAAGGGGATATCCAGATTATAGATCAGAAGAGTGACTCTGATCTTTTTTTTTCCCATAGAAGGGAAGTATTAAATTTCTTAAATTGTTCCTGAAAACAGGGAGAAAATAAGAAATTATCATGTGGGACTTTATCTGAAGAAGCAACTAAAGATCAGGCCTTTTAAAAAGATAAAGGAGTTCAAAGTGGATTTATTTATCAGGATTAAATTGTATAAATTGTGATTTTGGGTTGTTATTGTTGGAAACTTTTTTTTTTTTTTTTAAACCAGGACTGTAAGATTTAAAGATTTTTTCATATGGGGTATTTTTTTTATACCTGTGGGGATAAATCCTTTATGTTTTACTTATTAG